AAAAAAAAACCTTCCCTATTAAAAAAATTCTTCAAATAATTTTCTCAAAAAAAAAAAAATCTCAAATAATTCTCTATCAAAAAAAAATAAAATTTAAAAAAAAATTAAATGGCGCGTACCCGATATGTGAAACGGCGGGTACCTGATATGTGAAGCGGCAGGTACCCGATATGTGGAGCGGCGGGTACCTGATATGTAGAACGGCGGGTACCTGATATTTGAAACGGCAGGTGTTCGATCCCTTAATAATTTAAAATTTGGTCCAAAATAAATTAATAAACCGTTATAATATAAAGCGCATACACGTTAAATTATGTAGCGTATACACGTTGCTTTTTATGGCGGGTTACCCCTGAAATTGACAGGTTAACCCAACAGAACAGGGGTAGCCCGCCGTGAAATATAACGTGTACACGCTACAAAACATAGCGTGTACACGTTATGTTTTGCTACGCACTTTTGACCACTACCGCTTGCCATACGAAGTTGCCACATAGATCATTATTAAGCATAGCGTTCGTACAACATGTACATAATGGTCCTATAATAATACGATAGATTAATATTATGGTTTTATCTAATTAAAAAAAAAAAAAAAAATTTATCAACCAAATTTAGCAATCAAGCTAATCATTTATGGGCAGAGCGCATAAAAGTTTTGTGCGCAACTCATGAAGTCATATGCCTATCTACATTCATGTCACAAGCTTTAATAATTTCTTAAATAATTACGTCAGAGCCGGAATTACAAAAGGTAAAGACAAAATGAAAATTATCTTCTTTAAATTTCAAATTTTTAAAGGAGAACTCTACTTGGTAGAAATTTTTTCAATTTAATAAACTATAAAGAAAAATTATATGAGCTATTTTGACTTTCCAAATGCATTTTTTTATTTGTGATATTTTAAGTCCGATGATCATTACTCGATTAACTATTCACAATAGTTAGGATATGCGATGACAACAAAACTATACCAGATACGGCGGTATCAATCATGAAAATATGGCGTAATTAAATTTGGTAATTCATATTGAGGTATCTGCCTACCCGATTAATTTTACCCGGTTAAATAACATTTTATGTATGATTTAATCTAACTAAAATTTTTATTTAAAAAATTATAGGGCGTAAGTTATTTTTATTATTGCATATTCATATAATATTTAGTATTATATATAATTTAAACTAACTAAATTCTTTATTTAATGAAATCGTTATGAACCTAAAATAGGATAAGGTAATTTTTTTAATATTAAATAATTTTTTATTTTACATCATTAAGCAGCATTATTTGTGTTAATCGCTCAATATCTGAAGTATCAATTAGGTTAACACGCGATAGATTATCTATATGTTTGTCGCTCACCAATAAAGACAATACTTTTATAATTTGGCGTTTACACGTACAGTACAATGTTTAATAATTTTCTGCGTTAAAGAAGATACTTTTTGTTTGGTATGATATAATAGAATAAATTTTCATTCATTCACTCTTTTTAAAAAATTTCTTTTGAGATCGCTCATGCTTTTTAACAGAATAAAAAGAAACAATGGAACCTACAGTATACAATGTTTTTTTTCTTGGTACAACAACATAATGTAAATGATACGAAATACGCCTATTATTGCATACATGATGCGTTAATTATAAACGCCAGACTCATTTTCCTGGTTAATTTTTTACAATAATAAATTTTCGTGTTACTCAAAAAAAAAAAAAATTTCGTGTTACTTGATATTACTTTAAAACAACCGTTAGGCGTTAGGTTAGTTCTTATTTACTTTTTTTTAAAAAAAAAAAAAATCTCTTATTACTAAATAAACAAAATGAGTGAATTTTCCGTAAAAATCGACGATACTGACGTTATTGAAAATGACGTCACTGATAAAGATAAAATCGAGAATTATCATAACGGTAAACCCATTACGGAGATAGAATTATCACCAAAGGGAAGATATCTCGTTACTTATAGTAAAGAAGATCAATCGATTGTCGGCTGGAATGTTGAAAATGAAAACGAAGCTCAACTTGAATTTGAATTTTCTGTCAATAAAGTTACACTCAATGTTGATAAATTCAATCAACAAATATGTATCTCTGATGACAAGAAACTTGCGTATATAGATAATTATGATAGTTTGAGTAAGTAATAATTAACCTTATGCAGATTAAAATGATTGAATTTTGGGTACTTATCTAATTATTATGTTTTATTAGAATTATGCGATAAAATGAATGATGGCATAATTGAATTAGATTTTCACAAACACAGGGGCATTGTTGCTTTGTTTTGTGCTTTTAACCTAAATGATGAACTTATATTATACAATACGGATGGGAATAAAGGGAAATATTTTATTTGTATTTACTCCTTACAAAGTAAAAATAACAAATATAAGTGCAAAAGAATGTACTGGCTACCAAGAGAAAATAAACAAGTTAGCATATCCAGAAGTGATGAATTTTATTTATTTTCAAATAATTCCATTTATGAATTTAATCTTACTACTGAAAAAATGATAAAAATATTTGGTATTGATGAGGAAATTAATAATGATAGTTTTTGTAAGGTAATAAAAAATTTTCAAAAGCCTATTTGAAAATATCTTATAATTAACTATTATTTTATATTTTATAATTTGAAGCTTAGAAAAAATATCAGAATTTCCAGAAATGAGAAGCTTATTTGTACAAGATTCAAGGATAAAATTATAATTTATTCGATTGAATTAGGAATACCTATTGTTTCTTTAAATATAAATAATGGTATTTTTTTTTTTTTAATTGATTCCAATAATTGTAATATACTATAAACTTTATTAACATTATTGTCTTTATTATTTAGTTAATCAACTACGCATGTTTATGAAATACATTTTTTCATATCAACAATTATCTCTTTTGTTATTTCCTTTATTACTTCCTTTATTTAATAATATACAAAGCAGTGAATTTTGGGACGCCATCATAAAAGATAGTAAGAGTTTAGGGCATTTAAAACATTATGAACAATTGCCAAAAGAATTCCTTCCAAACAATATTCAAGTTACAAGCAAATTTGTATTTGGAATTCTAGATGGAGATGTTTGGATGAATGATTTGGAAAAAGTGATGTTGAATATGGATACTTTATTAAAAAGTTCTGATGAATTAGTTAACAACAATTTTGATGAAATTATTGATAATTGGTATGAATACTCTGGTAATCATTTTAAGAGCAAAAAAGAAATGTATGATTACTTAATTATTCTTTTACTTAATCCATACAAGGAAACTTTAGATGGGCTATTTAAAAAAGTCATACGTCAACTTAATAATCAGTATGAACCTGATGGTTACTCTGAACCTAATGATTTCAATGAGCAAGTGTTTAAATGGACATGTAAATTGTTTCGTGATGAAGCTATAATTAATAAAAATAAAATTGAATTGAATTTTTTAAAAAAAAATAACGATAATGATGATTGGGATTGCATTTGCAAAAAAGTTGAAGATATAAAATCACCTCAAAATAAGATACTTCAAGAAAATCACAAACTTATTATTGAGAAATATAATCGTAATGATATCATTATATTAACAGAAATAGGTCTTTTTATTTATCATTTTAATGAAAATAGTCAATCTATTTCTTTAATCTATTTTTATTATATGGATATATCACATATTGAATCAACTATTAAATCCACTTTTAAATCCACTTCATTACCTTTACTAAATCATAATAGTTTTAAAGTTTGCAATGAATGGGCTTCAAATATAAAAGATAATAAGAATAATCTTTTGAAATATGGAGTTGAATTATTATCATTTGCAATTAAAGAACATGATTCAGAATTAATAGATGATGTTTATAAAAAATGCATAAATTATTTTAAAGAAGATTTAGGAAACAATAAGATGTGTCTAAGTATCATCACTTCCACAATGCCATTATTGAATGAATATTATCCAGAATATATTTCAAGATATTCTTCGGAAACAGTAATGATCATAGATTCACCTTTTTATAGTATAGAATATGATCATACCAAGTTACATCTTTATTCTTATCAACATCATTTACAAATAATTAATATAACTCAATCTATTTGGTGGTTAAATTATTGCAAATCAATGGAAGTCTATGAAGCTTCATATATGAAAAAGAAGACAAAGTACTTTTTGATACTAAACAATATTCATCTTTTAATAGTTTTACCCCTATTCCCAATCTATTTTGTTATATGTCATATATTATTAAAATACCATTTTATTATTGATTGGTATAAGAAATATGGATTTTTTAACTTATATTTAAATGTAGTCAAAAAATTTTTAAAAATAATACCAATTTCAACAACACCAACAATTACTTTTATGAATCCTTATATTAAGTTTGTTAACTATCCAAAAGACTATAATTGGTTTTTGGAATTATTTTGGCCTCAATCTAGTCCATTTGTTGAAACAATGAATAGAGATATTTACAGAACATGGAATGGGGAAGTATTAATTAATTTCAAGTGGGATCATTATGGAAAATACTATTATGCAATAATTTGGATTGGATTTATTGCCTTTCTTGGATGCTTTACTGCTGCTGCAACAATTACTCATATTAATGATGATATTCGAGAACGACTTTTAATTGTTTCAATTATACTTGGATTTATTCATTTGAGTTTTGAAGTTCGTCAGATTATTTATAATCCTATTAAATGGATCTGTGATTTTTGGAACATATTTGGTAAATATACACATATCGTCTCATATCACAATATCTTAAGAAAATTGTAATTAACAACATTATTTAACATTATAGATGTAATTGCATTTGTGCTTCCAATTTATACTTCTTTATATTGGCTTCAAACAAGTGATATGAATGATTATATAATTCAATTACTCTCTTTTTCATGTCTATTTTTAGATATAAAATTTTTGTTATTTTTTAGAGCATTTGAATATTTTGGTGTATATTTTGCAATAATTATTAGTGTTGCAAAACAGATTATCTCTTTCCTAGTAGTTTTATTTATTATTATAATAAGTTTTGCACATGCATTTTATATTTTATTATTACCAAGATCTAATTTTTCATTTGATGAACGTACGAATAGTAATGATCCTAATAATCCTTGGAATATAGTTCCTTCCTATAATTTAGTACTTGAAAATGGAGCCATTGGTGCAAATCCATATATAATTCAACAGCCAAATGGAAATACAAATATGTTTGTAGATTTTAAAACATCTCTTTTCGCAATGTATTTATTCTTAACGGGTAAGTAAAATAAATATGTATGTTCTTCTTTGATGTTTAATAATACTTTAACATTTTTTAATTTAGGTGACTCAAGTGCATTAACTAATTGGCCATATATCAGTAATCCATCAATTGCAATATTGATTGTTTTATTCTCATTATTAATTGTTGTATACCTTATGAATTTGTTTATTGGATTACTCAATATGGCAATTGAAAAGGATAATAATAGAGTTTCATATTTAATGCAGAAGGCAGAGGTATAATATTACTATTTTTTTTAATATAAAATATAATATTAAATTGTAAAATGTTAATTTTTTTATTTTCTCATAGATTCTAGCTGAAATTGAGTTGTTTTATTTATTACCATATCAAAGACGTTATGAAAAATGGTTTCCTGAAGTGATGTACGTAAATTTATCATTTATTTGCTTTATTTTTTTTTGATAATTTTTGTTAATATATGAATTATACCTTCTTAAGATATTATTATGCTAACGTTGATAAGACTCGGGAAAAAATTAAAGAAATGATGAAAAATGATGAATGGAATACTGATGAATTCACAGAACTCAAGCAAGCTCTACTGGAAAAACTTAATATTAAATATAATCCTGATAAATAAATTCTTAAATTCTTGCAAAAAAAATGAAATATAGTTTATTTCTTGGTATATAGAATAACAAAATTTTGTTCCTTAATACAATATTTTATCAATTGTGATTTCTTTATTATTTTTATCTTTATCATCTAGTATCTATCTATCTATTTCTATCTATTTATTATCTATCTATCTATTTGTTTGTTTATTTTCATTATTTTTAACATAATAATTTGATTACTAGAATATAAAGTATTTATCATATTTATAAGATGTGACCAGTTTGTAATCAATTTATTAATAAAGTAAATTTTTACAAAAAAAAAAATATATATTCGTGTTTCTTAACACATTTTTAATAATGAATCAATCTTCGAATTAAATGTAAAAATATTATGATATTTTATACAAAAAAGATAATGTATCAAACATATTCATTAGGTACTGTATTGAAAGTAAACAACAGCATCATATTATTAAATGCAAAAAGTTTACAAAGTTACCATATTTTTCATAGATTATATGATTACTATCCAAACTAAGTGGTCCTTACTATCATGATCCTTTAGGATACCACTACAGTAATGATATCTATTCAAAGAAAGTAAGATATTACTAGTTAACAAGTGTGAATTTTTTATTTAGGATAAAGGAAGGTACATAGCTAGTTCCTTATTGAGAACTAACAGACCTTTAACAACAACAAACTTAGGATAAACTTAGGAAAAAAAAATGGTACCATGCTATCCAAGCTAAGTGTCATGGTCCTTCAGGATACCACTGATATCCTAAGCTGCCCTAAGCTTGCAAAATAAAAAAATACACACCTTTTCCTTTAAATTCAGCACAGTTTCTCAGCTTCTTTTAAATGAATAGAAAATAATAATGAAGCAGTAATGATATCTATTTAAAGAAAATAAAATATTAGTTAACAATGTGAATTTTTTATTTAGGATAAAGGAAGGTACATAGCAAATTCTTTATTGAGAACTAACAGACCTTTAACAACAACAAACTTAGGATAAACTTAGGGAAAAAATGGTACCATGCTATCCAAGTTAAGTGGTTCTTACTGTCATGGTCCTTCAGGATACCACTGATATCCTAAGCTGCCCTAAGCTTGCAAAATAAAAAATACACACCTTTTTCTTTAAATTCAGCATAGTTTCTCAGCTTCTTTTAAATGAATAGAAAATAATAATGAAGCAGTTATAATATCTATTAAAAGAAAATAAAATATTAGTTAACAGTGTGAATTTTTTATTTAGGATAAAGGAAGGTACATAGCTAGTTCTTTATTGAGAACTAACAGACCTTTAACAACAACAAATTTAGGACAAACTTAGGAAAAAAGATGGTACCATGCTATCCAAGCTAAGTGGTCCTTACTGTCATGGTCCTTCAGGATACCACTGATATCCTAAGCTACCCTAAACTTGCAAAATAAAAAAATACACACCTTTTCCTTTAAATTCAGTACAGTTCCACAGCTTCTTTTAAATGAATAGAAAATAATAATAAAGCAGTAATGATTCAATCTATTTAAAGAAAATAAAATATTAGTTAACAGTGTGAATTTTTTATTTAGGATAAAGGAAGGTACATAACTAGTTCTTTATTGAGAACTAACAGACCTTTAACAACAACAAACTTAGGACAAACTTAGGAAAAAAAGATACCATGCTATCCAAGCTAAGTGGTCATTACTGTCATGGTCCTTCAGGACCACTGATATCCTAAGCTACCCTAGCTTGCAAAATAAAAAAATACACACCTTTTTCCTTTAAAAATTCAGTTCAGTTTCTCAGCTTCTTTTAAATATTTTAAATGTATAATGAAGTAGTAATGGTATAAGGATCTTTGCATGATATAATGTACATGAAAAGAATTAAAAAATATTATTGCAAAAAATTTTTGCATTTTGAAAAAAAATATTTTGGAAAAAAAATTACAAAAAAAATTTTACAGGTCTTTAAATAAAAAAAAAAAATTTGCCCTTGCTCATTTTTAATAATTATGAGTCAATACTGCATTTACATTTAAAAATGACTTACTGTTAGATGATAATCTTTCTATTGTTTTTCATTATTACTCATAGTTACACCAATATTTTTTATTAATTACTCATAGTTAAATGATAATCTTTCTATTGTTTTTCATTATTATTCATAGTTACACCAATATTTTTATTAATAATTCGTAGTTAAATGATAATCTTTCTATGTTTTTATTATTATTCATAGTTATCCAATATTTCTTATTAATATATAATACTAATAAATTTGTTTTATTGTTTGTATACTGAACATTATGGTAATTCTAATTATTTCCGTTCTTGAATTTTAATATTATATTTTATTAAATCAGGTAAGAGTTGTTTAATAATAAACGTAATAAAATTTGCCTTTCTGCTCGCTCCTCCCAATTTTGATTACTCTTTGGAATTTCTATGACAAAACAAAATTCACATCTGTTACCTCTAAAAGAAATTCGATTGAGGTTGAGATTTGCGATTAAAAAAATTTAATGAAATTATTTTTCTGTAAACTCAATTTGATTTATTCAATATTTAATAACTTAACTAACTAATTGTGACGCTGCCGCAACTGAGTTACCCCAAAACGCATTAACAAAGAAAGAAGAAAAAAAAATAATCTGCTGATCTGCTGATCAGTTGATCTTATTTATATTTGGACAAATCTTTTATTAAGTATAGGCTGATTAACGAAAAATTTGGCACGTGACTAATACCTGTATATCTCGAAAAAATCAAATATCAGCTGATAGATTATTTTTTGCGAGAAAAACGAGAAAAAAAAATGCAAATTTTAGCGACTGCATAATAAATTTATAAGAATTACCATTTATTTGAAGTTGGGAGAGAGATTACACAGTTCAATAAATTGAATGTGATGAAATGATGATTGATTATTCATTCATAATATACAACTTCTCTAATTGAATTTTAATTAGAATTGCCTTTAGTTATTCAATTTCATTTTGTATTTATAATAAATATTCGCTTTCAAGTTTTCTAATAATCAAATCAAACTAAGCTGTGATTAATCATCATGATTATATCCGAAGCGAAGCGCAAGACTGTCTTTGCTACGGTCATACACAAATTTGTGTTATATCCTGAATTATCTTTCTGCACATGTACTGTACTTTTTTTTTGGATATTAATCTAACCCGCTAAACATAGAAAATATACCCTTGCTTTATCGAAAAAAACAAAACAAGAATTTTAATATGTACTGTGTTTTCATCTCAACTAATGTTGGATGTTTTTTTACTAATTTCTTGTACATACATATTTTTTTTTTTTGTATTAGTGATGGACTTTAATGGTTTCGTTAGTTTTTTTTGAATAATAATTAAAAATAAGAAATTAAATAAAACATTTATTGGATATCATTTATGCAGTACTGCACGAAGCTAAGAATCAATTAATAAATTAATAAGCGAACAAATATATTAAATTTAAATTATAATTTATCCTTGGCTTATGTAATGTACAGCAGCGTATATTATGAATGATAGTTTTTACAATTATTGCTGATCTAGCAAAGTCTTAAAAAAAAATGTTGCCACCTGATCACCAACATTGAGGTGATGCAGGGAGGAAAAAATGAAGGAGTGGGAAAGGGAAAGATTTAATTGATTGAACATGCGATAATATTTCATTTAATTAACTATCATAATAGATGGAGAGGTAAAGAAAGAAGGAAGCCCTATAAAAAATTTTATCCGTTATTTCTGTAAAAAAACCGTAAACATGAGCCTTTCGCGGATCTATTCACGGATCCATTCACAGGAAAATGTAAATGATTTGATAAATTCCGTGATATAAGTTATTAATTCCGGAGCCTTTTAAGAAAAAAAGATGGAATATAAAACAGATCGACTTAGAAATGGAAAGGCAAGAGAGGTAAAGGAGAGAGAAGGAAGGACAAAAGAGGGACGAATAAAAAGACAGACAAGGAGAGAAAGGGAAGGGCAGGAAAAAGTATAATCCATGGTGCCATTTTCTATGTTAATTTCAGTAATAATTATTGGAATATAGAGGTGTCTATATAAATATGAATAAAGTAACTTAATTAATCTAATATATTCATTAATTACAAATTCATTTTTTCATGACTGATTATGAGTTTTATTTCTTATACTATGGAGGAGATAATTTAAATAACTAAAGAAGAAAAAAAATTTTTGAAAACTTTTCAGTATACAGAATTTCACATTTTGTGTTTGGCTTATAGATAGTGAATAAATTGTTATTCCTTGCTACCACTCATAACTAAACACTTGTACTACCAATACACCGATTAGAAAAAGTTTAATCATTTGGTTCATGTTGAATATTGAGTAATTTTAATAAATCCTTTTTCATATCTTGGAATTCACCAGCTTCCCATTCTCCCTCACTAATCAATTCTTTAATCATTTTTCGAGTCTTAACAATATCAGCATAGTAATATCTTGAATAAAATAAATTAAAAATTAGCAATAATAATTAAATAAATTAGAATATACAAATTTAGGCATACATTGCATTAGTAGGAAACCAATCTTCACGACGTCTTGTATGTGGCAACATATAAAACATTTCAATATCAGCTAAAATCTGAAATACAGTATAAAAGTAAATATTTTGATATTTTGGAAATATATTATACCTAATTTAAATTCTTTTATAAAATATTACCTCTGCCTTTTGTACCAAGTATGAAACTCTATTGTTTTCTTTCTCAATCGCCATATTAAGTAATCCAATAAATAAATTCATAAGGTATATAACAATTAGGAAAGAAAATAATAAGATGTATATTACAAGAGCTGGATTTTCTTTATATTCCCATTTATTAGTTAAAGCACTTGTATCACCTATTAAATAAAAAAATTATAGTTATACATTTTTAAATGAAATAAGAGAAATGAATCATACCTGTAAGAAATAGGTACACCGCAAAAAGTGCAGTCTTATAGTCTGTAAACATATTAGTATTCTCATCAGGTACTTGAACAAATGATGCACCTTGTGTGATAGTTTCATTTTCTACTCTATTGTAAGTAGTATTTAAATTCCAAGGATTATTGGGGTCATCATTAATTGTGGGTTGATCTAAAGAATATTCAAGTTTTGGTCTTAAAATGATCAAAAAAGCATGGGCAAAGCTAATGACTATAATAAAAAAAATAACCAGAAAATAAAATATCTGCTTTGTAACACCAACTATTATTGCAAAATAGACACCAAATGACTCAAATGCTCTAAAGAACAACAAAAATTTTAGGTCTAACAAGAGACATGAAAATGAAAGCCAAAAAGTTTTTACATTAACTCTGCATAACAAACAAATGGAAGTCAAAGTAGGAACTAAATAAGCTCCTAAATCTGCAAAATAAATTCAGATTATATTTTAGTAATTTTAAAAAATTTAATTATAAAAAAAGTATATTATTCTCACCAAAAAAGTTCCAATAATCGTCAATCCATTTACTAGGACTATAAATAAACTGACGAACTTCAAAACTAAGATGAATAAGTCCAAGTATGAATGAAGCAATTAGAAGATGACTTTGATCATTACTATTAATTTGAGGAACTGATGCAGCGGCAGTAAAGCATCCAAGAAAAACATTAAACCCAATCCAAATTATTGCATAATAATACTTTCCATAATTATCCCATTTAAAATTAATTAATGATTCCCCATTCCATGTTTTATAAATATCTCTATTTATTGTTTCAACAAATGGACTAGGTTGAGGGTTGATTAATTCCAAAATCCAATTATATTCTTTTGGATAGTTAACAAAATTAATATAAGAATTCATAAAAATAATAGCTGGTGTTGCTCTTATTTTAAATAATTCTGAAGAAACTATTTTAATATAAAAATAAAAAGCAGAAAAGTATAAATTATGAAAATTATCAATGTCAAAAGTATAATCAAGTTTGAATAACCTAATAGGAAAACTAAGTATTACTTTTATCATTATAAAAATCATATTAAAAAATAAAATATTTAACATATTCAAAATAATTTGAAGAACATATAGTAGAGTGAATAATATTGGATGATTACTATATAACATATGACATTTTGTATCATATTTTGGCAACCATGAGTTTGAATTAATTATTTTAGGATGTTGTAAAAAAGAATAAAGGTGTAAATTATCAAGATATTCTTTGTGATTTATATTATAAAAAGGTGAGTCTATGATCATTGTTGTTTCCAATGAATATTTTAAAATATAATCTGGATAATATTCATTCAATAATGGCATTGTGGAAGTAATGATACCTAAAAACACACTATTGTTTCCTAAATCTTGTTTAAAATAATTGATGCATTTTTTATAGACTTCATCTATTAATTCTAAATTATATTCTTTAATTGCAAATGTTAATAATTCAACACCATATTTCAAAAGAATTTCCTTGTTATCTTTTACATATGAAATCCATTTATCATTCAAATCAAAACTATCATAATTTGGTAAAGGTAAATCAGTTTTTGAATATACTTTATAATAATTATATTTTAATATCCAAAATTTCACCAAAGAACTCATTTGATATACACTTTCAGAAATGGTAGATAATCCATCAATTTGTTCAAAAAATTTTATAAACAATTTTATACCCAATGAATTATTTTTAGGATAAGTTGCATGAAATGGATAATTTATGGCATAAAAATAAGTCAATGAAATAGATCTTATACTTTCATTAAAAGTGTAAATAAGAAGACCGATTGTTGTTAATACAATAATTCCATTGTTATTAAGTAATCTTAGTTCAAGTATCCAACCATCTATTGTATGATTTATATGAATTAATTCCCCATTTTTGTTAATTTTTTCATTAATTATTATATTCCATATATCCTTCCAATGAGTATTTAATTTTTCAAGTTCATCAGAAGACTTAATTTTCGACAAATTTGGTATGATATCTTTAAAAAGTGCGCGTATCATATTCATATCCATATACGAAAAAAATAAACGAATATTTAAGTGGTCATATGTTTCCTTTTCATAAGAACATAAGTACATGTTCCAGCTTTTCACAATATCACATTTATTACAATCTTTGGACGGGAGGTTCAATTTTGATATATTTTCTTCAAGTTTAATCTTCCAAACATCTCCATCTAAAATTCCAAAAGCGAAATTGGTAGCAATATGAATGTTTTTCGGAAGAGTTGGTAGATTTTCGGTCTGATATTTTATTGGTAATTTGTTTTTCTCTTTTAAACTACCTAAACATTTTTTCCAACAATTTTCCATAATGAGATTATAAATTTCACCATCCAGTAAAGGAAGTAATAATGGATATAAAATATTATGTTCCATAAAATTATATAGATCTGAATAAAATAGAAAATAATTTATTAGTATTAATGATAATAAAGCTTATATAATTTTAAAAGACTATACCATTATTATTTATATCTAAAGAAGCAATAGGAATTCCTAATTCAATCGAATAAATAGTAATTTTATCCTTGATTCTTAGGCAGACAAACTTTTTATTACTAGAAATTTTGATATCTTTTATTTCTAACTATTTTAAAATAATTAATAATTAATTGTTTATATTTCCGAAGAATTTTAGAACTAATAACTTTTTAATACACAGTATTTCGTTACCTTATTCTCAAAACCGGTGCTTTTTGTTTTTCGCTTGGAACCTTTTGGATTTTTTTCTACCTATTTTAAAATAAATAATAATTAATTATTTATATTTTCGAATAATTTTACTCTTTTAATACACAATATTTCGTTACCTTATTCTCAATATTTTTCTATTTTAAAATAAAATAATAATTAATTATTTATACAGTATCTTCGAATTAATAACTTTTTAATATACAGTAATTCGTTACCTTGCTCACAATATTTTTAAATGTTATGCTTTTTTTAGTATCAAGATCCCACTCATGAATGTAATTGTTTGATAATAAATAAAGTTTACCACATTTTGATATTTCAATAAAATCTACATTTTCGAGTACAGCGTAATTTAATTCATTCCACCACCACCATTTAAACCATTTGTTATCTTTCCAATAAAGGTTAATTTTATCAAATTTACGAAATATGTGACCAAACATATGATCAAATATATGATCATTAACATCGTGATCTTGATCTTGATTATCTATATATACAATAAATTTACCATTTAAATCAAAGGTACTATGTAATTTATGTTCTTTATTTGATGGATTAATTCCAATACATGACATATATAGAAATGGGTTGATAAATATTTCTTTATTATTATCACTCATATTGACTATATCTAAATTTTTTTTTTTTTTTAAAAAAAAAAATATTAATCATTGTAATTAAGTACTTAATTAAATATTAATTATCACTTACTTAAAATTTTTCTGTTATTGTAAATACAGGCAAGTCTTCTATCATCGGAAACACATATTTGGTCTATAATATCTATTTTTTCTTTAATATCTATTTCTTCTTTAACATCTATTTCTTCTTTAATAACATCACTTAATTTAAATGATTTGTCTAATTTAAGTGGACCTTCATCCGTATCCTCAACGTCCCAACCGACAAATGAACGATCTTCTTGACTATAAGTAACAAGGTATTTTTCATTTGGTGATACTTCTATCTTCGTAATAGGTTTACCGTTATGTGGTTTAGATTTCTCATTTTCGATAGCGATTTCAATATTGTCAATCATTTTATAAATTGTTAAATCCCTAACGGTGAATAGAAAGAAAACACAAGGAAATGCCTTATATTTATGATTTTATTTCACACTATTTGGAGGCTGAACCTGGCAACCCGCTGTAGTAGGCATAAATAATTTAATAATTACGGAAATGTCAATTAGGCAATACCCGTCACAATTGAAAATTCTGACGGATCTCCCACAGCCTATACCACTGTCCTCAACCTCGTACTTAGCCATTTTACACGAGAAAGTACAGTACTTGCGCCAAATAAAATTTGCAAAACATAAAAATTATTCCGCAACAATATCCAATCCACAAATTCTTGTTTGTGGCTTTTTGGTTAAAACTAAAAGGCAAAGTACCACAAACCGGTTTTAACATACATTAACCTTCCGGATAATTTTTTGACGTGCATAATAGGACCCATAAATAATATATATATATGGTAGGGACGTAGGGTACACGGGGACAGGGTACACAGAGTTAGGCGGAGTAAAGTTTTGATTTGCTCCATAGTTAGGTCTTTTTTTAAAAAATTAGTTTGTGTAAATTTGACGCCACCTAACCCTATACAGTACTGCAGTATATATATTTCTGGGTCCTTGCATAATATTTGTTTATTAGATCAGAAATATTTATTTATTTGCAACTTTAATAATTAGAACTTTTTAATATAAACAAATATAATATACAGTATTTCGCAAAGTGATACAAAGTGATCATTTTAAAACAGAATAGCTTCCTTTTTAAGAGTAAGCCAAGCCCAGGCTCCTTATTAGACATTCGCATCAGTGGCGCAAGAGATTCGATCGAATAAAGTACGTTATTAGATGAAAAATACTTTATATGTCACATGTCACACAGAATTTCAGTCCTTTCGATTCAATTTCGTCTAAAAAAAAAGAAAAGCTTAGATCGGTGACGTAACAAAGAAATTTTAATGGCTTCCGTATCATTATTTTTTTTTGTTGAAGAATTCTAAATATAGATTCTCATTTCAAATGCCAAGAAAACATTAAATCCACTCCTTTATTAGCAAGAATTAGGATTTCATTGGTCATAGGATTCTTGTTTCATTTAACTGATTTTATTGTTGTCTTTTAAATACTGTAGGGTAATTCTCTTTAAAGATTCTTTCTGATGCTTATATTGCGTAACTTATACTGTCTGTGATTATTACTCCAGCTGCTTTTGAAACATGACTTGAAGGCTCTGTTATATTATAATACTTATATTGTTCTTTTAACAATTCACACATTTGATTTTTTTCAATTGTCACTATAATTATTAAATTTGAATATCAGATTATTAGATTCTTTGGCGTTCGATATCTTGAATATTAAAGTGATCGTAATCTAAGAACCGAACATTTTGTCATTATCAGAGATATAATTTATTGAGCTCCCATGTTAACATTTTGGTTAGTAATGTAATTATTTCCGTTCTTGAATTTCAATCATCATCTTCATATGCAGTTACCAGAAATTTGTAATGGCTCAATATAATGAAACGAAAAGTAAAATTCCAAACTTCAATTATCAGTACTGTTATGAAGAGACTTCAATAGATATGAATCATATTATCATAATGTTCAAACAAATCTTGTATTGATCCTGCGTTCTTTATCAAGTTTCATATTTCATTTTTTTTATAACCATAATCAATATTGAAGGTACGATTATTATGCAAAATCTATTAAATTTTTTAATAACTTTTATTATGCCAGGTACTTAAATATCAATCATCTTAAAGGTTTATTTATACCGAAAATAATGAATTTTTATAAAATTTTGACGCGAAAATTTAAATTAATAAAATTTCCATAGAATTTATTTAAAATTTAAAAATGTAATTTTTCAATTTATACATCTATAATATAATAATAATTGTTTTAAAAATAATAATAGAAATAATTTAAATAAATTTATTATGTACAATAATAACACGATATTTTAAATAAATTAATTCTAAAGCTTAGAAAACCAATTTGAAGGAACATTAACTCCAAAGCTAAGTAGCATTTGAGCAAAAGTTTTTCCTTGTTTATCAATATTTAAAGAACTCAATCCTCCTCCGCCTATTAAATTACATAATTAAAAAAAAAAAAATTTTTATATATTTAAAGAAATTGACAATAAAGAAATTTTGCAATAAATATTAAATGAAATCTTACCTAGACTCTTAGTTAACACAAAATTTAATCCATTACAACCCGGTAATTCATATCTTTTCACCGTACCTTCACATAAATGTGCCATATAATCCTTAACGGCCTACAAAAAAAATTATTTAAGAAAAATTTATTATAAAAATTCTCATTACTAAAATTAGAGAAAAATTCTTTCATTTCATAAACCTTTTCGGTCAACGTCTTTTTTAGAAGAGGATAATATTTTGCTTCTCTCGCTATAATACCTATTGTATTAAAAAATTATTAATAATCGGTTAAAATTATTTTTTGTAATTACGCATATATTTACCAATATTACTAGTATTTCCTTTATCACCGCTTCTTCCCCATGCTAATCTTATTAAAGGAACCTTTATAGTACCACCAATTTTACTGACATCACTTTCAAATTCATCATCGGAATTTTCGGGTAATGGAGGCGCTATGTCACTATTATTATTTGTAGGTCCCTCAAAATATACAGGTACCATTTCATCATTTCCAACTACTAAATAAGCAGGAACAACATTCTTTGAAACAAGGTATGAAAAATGTACAAGACACGGTGAAGGATGAGGTCTCCCCGATCCAGCACCACCTGTAAAAAAAATATATTAAAAATTAAGTCCATATTCAATTATAAAAAAATTAATTAGAAAATCATTTATATACCTGTAATTCCGGGAGCCATACAAGTGGCAGCCTAATAAAATAAAATAAAATTTATAACTTATATAGAAATAATTAATAATGTATTTAATTCATACATACTGGAGCAAGTTCCATTCCAAAAATTATTAAAGCCTGCGGATCATCATGATGAACTGTAATATTTAAAATAACTTCTCTTGTATCATGAGCTCTTGCATGAGGTCTAAACAATTATAATAATTGATTAAAACTAATTATAAGAATATAATCTATAATACTAAAAAATTTACCCATATGTATGTTCAGCTCCTAACGGTTCAATATTTACATCACGAAAAGTATTCATTCCGAGTTGTTTTAACATTAAATGAGTTTTCATAATAATCGAAAATCCTACAGTTGATGCCTTTAAAAATTAAAAAAAATTAGCTAAATATTATCCTTAAATAATCGTAATCATTATTATTATAAATTTACATACTTTCTTCCAAGCATCGATTCCTCCAATAAGTAATGAACCAGTCATTTTATAACCATCCAAATAAATACCAGAAACTTTTAAATATTCAGTTGGAGGTCTCCCTTTAGCCCCTGTAACCAAAACTTTATCCTTTTCAATTTGTACCAATTTAACATTCCTTAAATCCAATACAACATCAGGTAAAATATATGATCCAGGATCCAAAACTTCATAAAGCATTTGTTCTCCTACAGTAGCAGTGGTAACTATACCTCCAGTCCCTTTCGGTTTTGTGACAAAAAAATTCCCATTTTCTAAACATTCAACAATAGGATAACCAATATTTATCCATCCATCATTATCAGAAAATGCGCTTTCTTCCCAGTCAGTAAAATTTCCTCCTGTAGCTTGACATCCACATTCAATAATATGTCCAGCTAATGACCCTGATGCAAGTTTATCCCAATCATTATGTGGATCCCATTTAAATTCATGAATTAAAGGTCCAACTACTAACGCACTATCTACACATCTACCTGTAATTACAATATTTGCACCGGAATCAAGTGCTTTTGCAATTGGTATAGCTCCAAGATATGCATTAAGTGAAACTATTTGTTTTTCTTCATCTGGAAAATTTTCTGAATCTTTTTCATTTCCAATTATATGTGTAAAATCATAAATGTCTCCTTTTTGCGTAAGTTCTTCAATTTGATTTAATATATCATCACCTGTAATTGCTGCTACAGTTAATTTTCTAACTTCTATTCCACTTTCTTTAATTGCCTTTTCTACTGCTTGTTTACATGCTAAAGGATCCAATCCTCCTGCATTTGTAACAACTTTAATATTATATTTAATTAAATCAGGTAAGAGTCGTTTAATAACAAACGTAACAAATTCTGCAACATATCCTCCTTCTCCTGCTCCTCCTAATTTTGATTTTTCTTTGGAATTTCTACGACGGGCCAAAATTCCCATTGTTACCTCTAATAAAAAATTCGATTGAAGTAAGTTGCGATTTGCGATTAAAAAAAAAAATTTTTAATGAAATGATTTTTTTTTGTAAACTCAATTTGATTTATTCATTATTTAATAACTTACCGGCTAGATAATCAGCGACTAAATAATCCAATTTTTCTTTCTCCTTTTTAACTAATTGTGACGCTGCAGAAACAGAGTCACCCCAAAACGCACTAACAGAAAAAGAAAAAGTCGGTATTTTTTTTTAAAAAAAAAAATTAATTACTTTATTAAATTGTCAAATAAAATTTTTTATTAAAAAAAAAAAAATTACATTATATATTAACCTATAACAACCAATACGAACAGGTTTAGAAGTCATTGTTAATAAATTATCTAAATTATCGAACCGAAAAAAAAATCGAGAAAAAAATTTTTTTTTAATCTGCCGATCTTATTTATATTGGACAAATTTGCTGTAACTTTATTAAGTATAGGCTGATTAACAAAATTTTGGCACGACTCTTATCTGTTATATATCCCGTCTGATAGTAGATTTTTTTGCGAGAAAAAAAAAATACAAATTTTAATTTGTTAGAATTTAATTTATTAGAATTTAATATTAATAGATACTTATTGTATTTTATTACTTCATTTTAATGCTAATCTTAATAAAAATAATAAAAACATAATACTAAAATTACAATACTTTATTATTTATGTTGTATTAATCACATATTCACATGACACATGATATGCTGTTAGACGATCAATGAAAATAAAATGTACTTAATATGGATATATAATGTGTCGCATTTTGAGTGGATAAAAAAAAAAATGTAAATGGGACCGGACCGGTCCCAGTCCTCAAATCCGGTCCCAGGACCGATTAAAGACCAGACTTTACCATCACAAATCTATTACAATTTACGATTACCTATTTATTTATTTGAAGTTGAGAGAAAAAATTTCTAAAATATTTTTATTTCCATTGCACAATTCTGATAATTCTGTTATCCTATATTTTATTAACGACGGGCTTGGTTAGGGACTTGAGGTTTGAGAAAAAATTTATAATCCATAATCTACTTATTAATTGTAATTGAAATTTTTCTTATAACAGATTATACTGTAAACTTGCAAAAATATGGTTAGTTCAAAAACATAACAGCGTTGTTCTGAAACCGGATCCAGATTGGATGAAATTGAGCATCCAAAAAAAAAAATAATTTATTACATTATAAACTTTTACGCTCTTGATTTTAATTTTACCTTAGGAGAACTAAAGTAGAACCGAGGGAACCAAAATGAAGCTCAGAAAAGCGTCTCCAATACTCCATCCTTAATCACATATTAATTAATATATCGACTTCTTTAAAAAAAATAAAAATGATCTAAATTGTTATGAAACTAACTGCATTCACAATCAGAAACTAATGTACAGTACAGTACAAATGTCGAATATTGCAGTTTTCATTGGATGAACAAAAATTAGTTGAGAAAGGTTTTTCTGCGCTAAAAAAGTCTACTTTCTATAAATAAATGTGGTTTAAATTTACTAAATGCAGTACAATATTTTTATTATGATTTTACTGTATGCAGCATACCTAAGCGCCATATGCGTTTATTAAATTTGATGGCTGTGTTATTCACCACAATAAAGTTGGTCAAATTTATATCACTAAGAAATTTACATTTAAAATTACTAAATATATCAAACGACGATGATGATAAATTTTTATATTCAGTATGCAGTATATGCAAACGTACAGACTTATTACAAAAGTAGTAATTTAAAATGAACGAAATAATCTGATCTTAAACAAATATGAAACCGATAATTATAACTAAAATTCCAATTTACAGTATATTATTACATTGTAAATTAATATAACGTAAACTTTACATAAAGTTCAATAAAGTTATTTAAAATGAAGTTGGAATGTTAAATTAAAAACCACATCAATCGGTTTCGACAACAAAGTTCTTCTTCTAGAACGATTCTTATATTATTTTTAAATCTTGACAACTTTTATATTTATTTCATAATAATATATATTAAATGTTAAGCCACAATTAAAGATCATTGTTTTGCTGCGTTAAATTATAAAAGTATCGTTTTTAGATTATCTCTTAGTTTATTTACTGCCAAAAAAAATAATTGAGATGCAAAACAATCAAATGCGCCGATTGTTCATGCAAGATACGCCTTTAGATAACCTTTTTTTGTACGACTAAATCATCAAAGCAATAAGCACGCCAGCATGATACCCATGCAAGTGATGCTTATTTTCCTTTAATATATTTCACAATAATTCACTTTTTAATATAAATAAAGCAATAAAATATACGTATATTCCTAGTGGGTCAAATGGATGGAATTTCCGTAGTTTCCGTAATCATTGATGATGAAATCAAAAATAATAAATTCAATGAGACCGACGAAAATAATATCAACGACACTAAAGATACTGATGAACCACATAACGGTAATCCTATAACTAAAATAAACCTTTCATCAAATGAGAAATACTTTGTTACTTATAGCAAAGTAGATTCATCAATTATCTGTTGGAATGTTGAAAATGTAAAATTTTCTGCAACATATATGTGTGTTTCCGACGATAAGAAACTTGTGTATGTGGAAATGGATAATGGAATAAGTAACTAAATAATTATTATTAATAATCTTACAAATTTATGGTATTTATCTAATTTTAATTATTTTGAAAATAATTTATTAGAAATACGTGATATTATGACGAATAATTGTCAAAAAATTAAATTAGATTGTGTTGATTATTGTTCTTAAAGGTGAACTCATTTTAAGTAGTGGTGGCAAGATTTTAATTTATTCCATGCAAAATAAAGATAATCTATGGAAATGCAAAAGAATATGTAAGAAACTAATAGATGCTAATTTGTTGAGTATATCAATATATGATAAACTTTATTTATATTTAAATAATTCCATTTATGAATGGAATCTTATTAATGAAAAAAGTATAAAAATACTGGATATTGATGAAGAGATGAAATATATTGATAGGAAGCTTATCAGAATTTCCAGTAATGAAAATTTAGCTTGTCTAAGAATCAAGAGTAAAATTATTATATATTCATTTGAATTAGAAATCCCTATTGCTTCTTTGGACATAAAAAATGGTATGATTTTTATAAGTTAATAATTACCATGCTATATAACATCATTTCTTATTTAGATATTCAATTATGTAAGCTTATAAAACTTCCTGCTTTATGTACTCTATTATTTTCCTTATTCAGTATTATACCAAGTAATGAATTTTGGGATTCTGTCATGAAGAGTTGTAGTGAAAAATGTTTAAACCATTTAAAACAATCACCAAAAAAATTTCTGGTAATTTTACATCAGATTTGATTTGCGCAAGAAATGAAAAGATCAATTTAAAAGATGGAATAGGTATAATTGGATTTAAGTTATTTAATGATAGTGATATCATTATATTAACAGAAATTGGTCTTCTTATTTACCATTTTAATGAGAATAAAAAATCTATTTCATTAAACTATTTTTACTATATGAACTTATGCAATAAGGAAGTATTGTCAAATTATTATAAAGATGTGTTTTTAAAATCTAATTTACCTTTACCAAATTATGATAGTTTTAAACTTTGTGATGGATGGGTTTCAAATATAAAAGATAATAAGGAGTTTCTTTCGAAATATGGTGTTGAATTATTATTATTCGCAATTAAAGAACATAAGGTAGAATTAATAGATGAAGTCTATAAAAAGTGTATCAATTATTTTAAAGAAGATTTGAAAAACAATAAGATATTCTTAAGTATTATTACGTCTATAATGTCATTATTGAACAAATATTATCCAGAGTATATTTTAAAATATTCAATAGAAACTATAATGATTATAGATTCTCCTTTTTATATATGAAATAGAACATCAAAATGTCAATTTACATCTTTATTCTTTTCAATACCTTAAAATCAATCTATTTTATGGTCAAAATATAATATATTAATAAGGAACTTAGAAGATAATCATATAATAATGTATAAAATACTGGCTTTTATTCAAATTTTAATAATTTTACCCTTTCTACCAATTTATTTCGCTACATTTCACATATTATATAAGTATGGCTTTATTGATCATACTTCTGATCATGGTAACTTTTCTCTTTTTTATTTTTATATTATTGATCATATTGAATACATTGTTTGTAAATTCCCAAAATATAACATGATAGCAACACCAACAATTACTTTTATGAATCCTTATATTAAGTTTGTTAACTATCCAAAAGAATATAATTGGGTTTAGGAATTAATCAGCCCTCAACCTAGTCCATTTGTTGAAATAGTAAATAATTAATTTTAAATGGAACGCTTATGGAAAATATTATTATGCATCAATTTGGATTGGTTTTATAGCTTTATTTGGATGCTTTACTGCTGCTGCAACAATTCCTCAGTAATATATCGACTAAATTACCCATAAAAAGCTTCTGAAAGCTACAATTGTACTTGGACTTTTTCATTTGAATTTTGAAGTTCGCCAAATTATCTATGATCCTTTTAAATGGTTGCAAGATTTTTGGAATCTTACAGGTATAATATTATTTAATACATTATTTAAATAAATCATCTCTAATTGTGTTGTTTAATATTGTAGATGTAATTGCAGTCTTACTTCCCATTGGTACTTCAATTTATTGGCTTCAAACAGATTATAGAAATATTCCCATACTTTCTTTTACATGCCTGTTCTTAGATATAAAGCTAATAGTATTTCTTAGAATATTTGAATCTTTTGGTATATTTTTCAAAATAATACTAAGAGTTGGAAAACATATTATTTCTCTCTTATTTGTGTTGCTAACTATTATAATTAGTTTTACACATGCATTTTATATCCTTTTATCACCAGAAACCGATTTTTCTTTTAAGAAATATATGAATAATAATGATCCAAATAATCCTTGGAATTTGGTTTCTGCTTATTATCGAGTATTTGAAAATGGAACTATTGATTACAACCCATATATGATTCAACCACCTAATGGAAATACAAATATGTTTGCAAATTATAAAACTGCTCTCTTAGCAACATATTTATTCTTAACAGGTATGGAAATAAATTCACTCTATTTTACAAGCAAATATTTTAATGATATATTATACTTTATCACAGGTGATTCAAGTGCACTGTCTAACTGGTCATACGTTGATAATCCATCACTTGCAATAATGTTTGTCTTATTTTCACTCTTCATTAGTATATATATTATGAATTTGTTTATTGGATTAATCAATAATGCAATTCAAAAAGCTGATAATAGAGTCTCATATCTTATATATAAAGCAGAGGTATAGTATTATCTTATTTAATATAAAGTATTATGTAAAAACGCTAAAATTTTCAAATTTCTTACAGATTCTAGCTGAAATTGAGTTATTTTATCTATTACCATATCAAAGGCGCTGGAATACATGGTTCCTGAAGTAATGTGTGTAAAATTTGTTCATTTTTTTTTAAAAAAAAAAATGATTTTTACTAACATATAAATTTATCTTTTATAAAGATATTACTATGCTAATGTTGATATTGTTCGTGAAAAAGTTAAAGAAATGATTCGTGAAGGTGAATGGAATACCGATGAATTTTCGGAAATGAAGCAAAATTTGTTAAAAAATCTCAATATTAAATACAATCCTAACAATAATATTGATTATCTGAACTCTGAAGAAAAAAGGATTTAGTTTATTTCGAATGTAAACATTGTAGAAAAAATATGCATAAGGATAAGAACACGATAAAGTTACTTAGTTTCAATTTTTTTAATTTTTTTAAATCTATATAAATAATAATAAAAAAGAGTAAATTAAACATAAATTCTTAATCATCTTATAGGAATTTTGAAAAGAAACGATAAAATATTGTCATAATAAACAAATAATTGCGATATATCTCATACACTTTTTTTGATTCAATAATGCGAAGTACGCCACTGAGATTCAGTTTGACGTAGACGTTACCGTTTACGGTTTACCCGGATACAATCTAGGTATTCCCGGGTATTTATGAGTATCCAATAACAAACGAGTAAAAATAGATAATACTCGTTTTGTATCTGTTTATGTAAACCCTCGGTAATTGCTCATAAATTTTGCCAGAATTAAGATGTTAACTCTGGCCAGAATTTTAATGCCGGCCGGAATTAATGTTTATATATCATGAATGTCAGTCGCAAAAAAATAATTTATGATGACCTAAAGAGATCATTGATTCTGACCAAAATTATAATTTTCGGCCAGAATTAAGTGGTGGTGAGTTTTAGCAATAAGCAATGCTTATCCTAAAAGACTCCATTTTGTTTTATATTCGATAAATATCTTGATTTATATGTTTATTGAGAAAATAACAGGTCTTTATCCGGGTAATACCGTTTTGGAGTCGAGTAACACATTTTTTGATTTGGGTATGATCCGGATCCAGAAATTCTTTGACGCATCACGAATTCACGATTCACGACAACAAAAATGTCTTTTTAAATCCTGAATATTTAAATACCGAACCTTAAGCCTACGCATAATCCCGGTTAATTGGTAATAATGTAATATTGGTCGGTCATTAATTATTTAGTTAATTTTTCGAACCCTTATAAATTGCAATTAATATATATTTTGCTCAGTTTCTCACTTTAAAAATTAATTACAGTAATCCAAATTTTAATAATTTGGGCCGTTCTCTTCAATTTGATCAGATAATCAGATAGTGATGACATTGTGCTCAAGTATCAAAATCAATAACGAGATCAATTAAGCAACGGATTTTTTTTTGATAAGTTAAAAGGCAATACAAATTTGTATCCTATTCTTCTATTATATAATTTATTTTAAAAATTTCTTGCATTAAACCAATTTTTCTTATATTGAAAAGGATGATGCTGAGAACTCATTTTTGTTAATAAAAAATAAAATAAATTGAATGATTACCGAGCGTTTTTTATCAATTGAAGATCATTGTAGAAAAAAGATAGTTTTTAGGCTCATCAAAATAGGAAACTCCATTATTCTTTTGACCAATCAGATCACTCATCTGAGAACGCCCTTTATCAACAAATTTTTGTTGATAATAATAAAAATACAAAAAATCTATTAAAAATTATCTATTACCGTATAGCACTGCCTAAAATACCCCGGGTGGTAGAGTATTTTATCATGGTGATATTGTATTACTGATCTCAAGATTATCTTTTTTGACAAACATTTTTTAAAATTAATTTTACACTTTTTGGTGTTGTATTCTTTTTCTGCACACAAAACTGTTAAGCAACGATTTCATGAAAAAAGAACCGATTTGGCAGCTATTCCAGGTGACCTTTACAACCACTTGATGTGTCAATAAATAGATCTTTTAAATCAAAGGTAATTATTTACCGTAACTTAAATAATTAAATAATTTATTAAATTAACCTTTAATTTTTTAAAATTAGGTACGAAACAGTTTATCATTTATTAAGTAACGCAATTAAGTAATAAAGTTATTGGTTAAATCAAGTATACTATGTATGAATGATAAAATACCTGGTTCTATATCAATTTACCTCATTTAAAAAATTGAATTATACCCGGGTCTAAATCAAAAAAAAATTTTTTTGTTTAATAAAATATCCGGATATTACTATGAGGGTACACGGAAAAGGTACGGGTATTCTAGGAGATATGGCAAGCGAGGGGGTCTCACTACTAACTGATTCTGACCATAATTTCTTATGGAATTTGCATAAACATCTCTACAGTATTAATATCACAACGATCTTCCGCTTTGAATTTAATGTTGATAACCTACTGGTAATTTCTGGTAAATTTACATGATTACATTGCCGATAAAGATTTTCAATCGAAACTTCTTTAAATGGCAAATTTCTTGGTTTACACCAAGCGATTTTCCAAAACAACAATCCTAAACTATATATATCAGAAGATCTTGAAATTGTCTTATACTGGATAGCCTTTCTGGATCGTGCCACCGTTTCCAAACCTCCTCGCCAGAATATTGTTATTGTTGGATACACTGGAATAAAAGTCTCTGCTCCAAAGGAAATTAGACATTTTGGCATTAACGCATCACCGTAAGTCCGTAATCTTTTAAAAAATATTTGCACTTCTGAGGTCTAAATGTACGATTTTTTTCTATAAAAAAACGACAAATTATTGGTTATTTAAACGCTGTAAACGATAAGAACTAAAACAGCAACACAATAATAATAACTCTTACTTCATGCAAATATTTTACGCCTAGAGATATTTCCCATGCTAGTTTAATTTTATTTTTCCGATCGCTCCAATTATGATTTAAATAATGATTCACTTAAAAATATTCGAAGAGGTTACCAAAATCTGCATATTCATAAAATAGAGTGCACTTACAGAAATTAGATTATATACTTATTCTCATTCAAATGACGGTCATTGTAAAGATAAATCTCTTTAATTATACAATGATAATTTTCGTCATTTAGGTATCTTAATGATTTTCCTGTGGCATTCGTGTTATTTAAGACTCGTCTTGTTGTGTCAAAAAGCCTCTCCGCTTGAATTCCAATATCTGTTGGAGTTTCTATACGATCATAAATTCATAATATGCCTGACTCGCTACATAATACCATCAGTATACTTGACTCATCATCAATATGTAAGTTAATATACGGATCTTCAGAAAAACTTTTTAATTCACTTTGAATTCTAATATTGCCGTAATTAATTTGGACAAATGGTCATTGAATAATCTTCTAGATTTTATTATGTTAATAAAAAATAAAATAATACATCATATAATTGATATAAGTTTATATGTCTAAAAAAAAATAAAATTTTACAAATTGAATTAACGGTTGCTAACCTTCTAAAATTTCGATTATGTCATGATATAAGATTGATATCTTCTTTGCTAACGAACTATTTACAACATGATCTCTTACTAGAATAAAAAGGGAGAGGATTTAGAAAATAGAGTAAAAATTTTGGAATTATAACAAATAAACATAATTTACCAGCACAATAACGTACAATCAACCATATAAACCGATTATAATGATGTACTTGATTTTTTAGGAAATTTTATAAATTAGATTTTCTGTTCATTATCATCCAATTTCGATTTAGATTATTCAAGTTCACACGCATTTTTTGCGCAATTTTCATCAAATAATCTCTCCTAAAGTGTTTTTTCCCAGGTTCAACTACGTTTTCTATTATTTCGTCAAGTATTACACATACATAATCTAATGCGTAATATGGATCTAACGGATCTGTCGAGCTTTCTATGTAGGGATCTTGTGGATCTATTGATAATAATTTACCTAATTCTCTGCCATCAAAATGGGTTTGTTGTCCATTTGATCCTTGTGTTCCATTTGATTCATTGACTCTGATGAATCTGGTGGAATAATTAATGGTTCTGGTGGATTTACTGTACTAATAGGACCTATATCCAAATCTATGTTCTTCACATAACCATAAAATCTCATTATTATAATCCACACATTGCACTAGTCCACCAAACTTGTCCGTACAATCTTGTTTATCGAGAAATCCTAATAAAAAAAAAAAAAAAAAATTTTTTGTAAACAAAAACAACAAAAAAAAATAGTAATTTTACATACTTTCGAGTTCTCGAAGTCCTGAGTCATTTATCATTTGATGAGAAGCAAACATTTCAGTCGCTCAAAGGAAGAAAGGTAGGATCTTCATCGGTCACCTATGTCAACAGTATCCACAATTTCTCGAAAATAATGCATAAGGTCAGAATTATCTTTAATACTGAAAACTGATGACAAAATATCCGCAACGCATATTTGATGTCAGATTTTTATTGCGCTTAATAACGCTTGCAAACTTTTCAAAAAAAAAAAAAAACAGTTAACATTAATTGATTGAAAAAAAATTTTAATTTGATTTTAAAGTTATATACTGTAATAATTTACCAAAGATTTATCCAAGATCTATATTTTTTAATAAATTGAGGAATCTCAAGAAGTTTATGCCTATCTTGTTCTGGAACGTGCCACTGTTCCTTGTGTATAAAAGACTGATAAAAGCCACGTTCTATAAATAAGATGTTAAAATTTAAAAATAACTAGAATTTAAAAGAACAAATATACTGCTTACACTGGTTTTTTCCAATCTTTTGATCAGGTATCATAACAAATACTCTAGGAACTTTTTCATTTTGTAATTTAACTAACTTTATTTTATTTATTATTTTTTTTTTATAAAAGAAAAAAAAAGAGAATTCATTAAATGAATTGATTTTAAGTACTTTTTTTAAAACATCACTTACCCACCGTGGAATGTTTTTTGTAAGATCAGTTAAATCCTCCACGTCTCTCTTACAATTATCAATTTTATCATTCAGTCCTTTTAGGCTTCGTTATGATATTCTTCAATAACTTTCTGAAAGAGAAAAATATTTATTAAAAGAACTTACTTCTTTTAAAGCAAGTTGAATTTACCGAGTAAATTTTGTCCGATATAATTGAAATAATTCTCCGTTTATTGACTCGAACTTATTAATATTAGTTGATTCTAGATCATGCAACGCATACCACAAGCTATTAATCTGAGTGCTAATTAAATTAAATTTACTTTTTTTTCTTACCTGATTCCATGATGTAATATGACGTTCGCTAAAAAGGAAAAAATTTTATTTTAGTACTGAATTACGCAGATAAACAAATAAACGCGACGTTATACATGCAATCACCATAAATCTATCTAATTTCATTCTGTGTGAAATGTCCTTATCGAGCAACCTGGCAAGCAGTTTGATCCCGAATATTTTGAAGTAGCAAGTTGTATTTTTTTCCTGAAATAATCTCTCTTTTTTACTTCTTCATTCTCTCCTTCCCATCCATCCAATAACGACGACCTGACATATTTAAGCGAAATTTTATTAGGCTATTAAATGATAATTAATACTTTCTAACTTTATTTTATTGGTTTTGCAGTAGTTTTTGCAATCGATTATGTACTGTAGTCCAGTTTTAACGATCGGTTTTGCGATCGGTTCGGTTTTGGTTGAAAACTGCAGTTTTAAAACTGAAACCGACCATAACCTCAACCTAGTTCATTTGTTAAAATAATAAATAAAGATATTTAAAAACGTGGAATGGAGAAGAAGTATTGATTAATTTTAAATGGAATACTTATTATTATTATACAGTAATTTGATTGCTATATTAGAATTGTATTTATTCTTAAATTCACTCTAATATTTTCACAAGCAAATATTTTAACATTTCATATTTTATTAACAGGTAATTCAAGCTCACTGTCCGATTATAATGGTCCATTACTTACAATAATGATCCTTTTATTTTCGCTCTTAATTGGCGTATATATTATGAATTTGCTAATTGGATTATTCAATATAGAGTTTTATATCATTTTTTAATATGAAATATAGTAATTGTAAAATATAATTTATTTTTAAACTATCTATCTATCATACAGGATTTAAATTTTTACATGCCAATTTAATTAAATTACGCTATTACCATGAATTACGCTATTACCACCACTTTTCCAACACCAAAACGAACCATTGTCACAAACCGCTACAATCCATTGTTTATCATTTGAAAAACTTACTTGTCGAATTGTGCTGTCACATGCTGAACTAAGGATAATAGGTTCATAACTAACATTACTTTCATTAATATTAGTCTCATTATTTTTATTCGTCTTCTTATTAGTCTTTTTATTACTTTTTTTCTTTTTTTCAAAAGTTTTATCATTTTTTATCTCCTGATATTCTAACCTTTTCTTTTCGATATAGTAGTCAACACAATCTTCTTGAACATCCCATAAATAAATTTTTCCTGCTTGATTCCCCGTTGCAAGCATTCGACAGTCATACGACATTCCAAAGCGAAGGAACCAAAGATCACAATTCATGAATTCGAATTCACAAATTATTTCGAAGCTTGATTGTCGCTAGAAAGTTCGAATCCAAAGAAAGAATCGTTAATTTTATTAGATAAAATTAAAGTTATATCACTTATTCTTACCTTACTAAGGACAGCTGGTCCACCCACGACTACTGTTGTGACGTTAGAATTATCGAAAGCCTCTAATTTTACATCAGGCTTCCAAAGCAGAATCCTTGCATCATTAGCACATCTCGTCAGTAAGAGATCGCCGTACCATCTTATACAATCCACAAAGTTGTCGTGTACTCCGGCTGTCGAAAATATAGGATAGTGCACAGTCACTACCTTTAATGGCGTTTCGTTCGACGAACAACATGAGGAGGCACGAGACGACGACGAAGGTCTTGAAATTGAAGAATTTATTGCGTTCTTCATTACTGGCGTACATAACGACCAGATTTTTACCGTGCGATCCATTCCGGAAGATGCAAAGAAGTCTCCGGATAGATGCACATCCTAAAGAATTAAATTATAATTGAAATGACATCGAAATGATATATTTAAGTTAATTATAAGAATACATCTAAAAAGAAATGTTTTTAATGATAAAGAAAGAAACGTTACAATGCTTAACGGCGCTTCACGATGGCCGCACTCCCCGGCGAAAATAGCGACGGTCTGCATAGTATCGATCCTCCATAAACGTATGGAGAGATCCTTACTTGCAGAAAAAAGTAAGGATGGATCTCTAGGGTGGGACTTCATCTCATGTATCTCCTATATATATTATTAAAAATTTTAAACTTTATAAAGATTCATTATAATATTTAATCAGATAAAGTCGAATTATATCGAACTTACACCTCCATGCCCTTGAAGGGTCTATGAGTATAAAATTTAACGAAATATTTAGTCATACAAGCAGTTTATCTTTAATTAAATCAATTCGTAATATAAAAATGTTATTATACCTTTGTGAAAGACCCAGCCGACGTATCTATAATTTTAATAACTGCAGTGAATCCTGCCACGACGAGAAGCGGTGCACCTGATATTGGGTCGATAGACCATGTACAGCAATAAAAATCTTCCTGTTCCTGCATATAAAAAAAAGTTATTATTTAATATACTAAAACTACAAAAAAAAAAAAAATACACAAGTTTAAACATTTACATTCTCATCAACGTATTTTTGTGCAATATTTAAAGCTACCGGTTTTTCGCTCTCGAGGCGAGCAACTATAATCTAGAAAATAAAAAAAATTATAATATAGAAAGTTATTAAGATTAATAAAGACAAAATACACATTACAATTTTTATCAAAATGATATACTTACATAACGACCTCCGACAACGGCAAAAGCTGTATTAACCGTATCATAATTGTTGAAACAGACACCATAAAAGCGGGTGGCTTGTTTTGTGGGTAACTGTAGTGAAATGCAAGAATTACAGTATATACGTTTCAATAGTGTGAAATAGTGAGAGTAAATTATAATTTTATAAAACATTTCGTTCATACCGTTACGACGTGCTTGAGAGTGTATGTAGTAGGCATTTTTTCTTGATTGAAAAAAGGCCAACAACGAGAAATTGGGAAAAAGTCTGAAAATCCGAGATTATTTAAATAGAACCATGTTCCACAAGATTTATTATGACAATATTTCTTTTTTTAGAAATTTAGTGAGTGAAATTGTATTATTTTTATAGCCAGACACGGTACCTACATCAAAATCGCGTAATTTTTGTTGATTTTATTTATTTAAGCATAAATTTACGCGTTTTCGGAACAATAATTGTTTATTCAAGCATAAATTCACGCGTTTTTCGGAATAATAATTACTTTTAAAAATTATTTAATGCACGTGTTTTCGTGTTTTCCGCATCACTAATAAATAATAATATTGATATCACGCGACAGAAAATTCGTGTTTGGAACACCCGTGTAAACTTTAATTAATTTATTACTAATCAAATCAGCGACTAAATAAATAATTCTCCTTTTTAATTAATTGTGGCGCTACAGAAACAGAGTCACCCTAAAACGCACTAACAGAGAAAGAAAAAGTCGGCATTTTTTTAAAAAAAAATCAATAACTTTATTAAATCGTCAAATAAATTATTTTTTATTATTAAAAAAACACGAACAAGGTTTAGAAGTCATTATTGATGCCGATATGCCGATCTTATTTATATTGGACAAATTTGGTGTAACTTTATTAAGTTAACAAAAATTTTTGGCACGTGACTATTATATATCAGAGAGATTTTTATTTGCGAGAGAAAAAAAAGTTAATTTTAGCAACTGCATCACAAATTTATAAGAATCACCTATTTATTTTATTAACGACGGACTTGATTAGATACAGCGTTATGCAACAAGTTGTGACGTATTTGTCGTTAAGTTGTAACTTTATGTTGTAATAGCCGTAATAGGATTAATAGGTAACGGTGAAAATGGGTGTAATGTTCGAAATGAGTGTAATGTTTGATGAATATTGAATACTAATCGTACATTAAACAATTATTTTTATTTGTTAATTTTTTAGTAAACAAATTGATTAAGTTGTGTTTGCAATTTCTCTTTTAATTTTTACAATAATAAATTTCGAATATTGTGTTACTTTAATATTAAATAAATTCATAACAGACGGTTGCTTTAAAATCAAATACACTTTACCTTATTATCAAATGAGTCAAATGGATGAAGTTTCCATATTCATCGATGATGAAATCAAAATCGATATTAATGAAATCGACCGACGATACTAAAGATGAAACTAATGGTATCGATTACAGTAAACCACATAACGGTAAACCTATTATGGGGATAGAAGTATCACCAAATGGAAAATATGATCTTGTTAGTTACGATGATCGTTCAATTATCGGATGGAATGTTGGATAAAAAAAATTTCTCTATAATGTTTTAATAATTAAGTATTTTTAATAAAGTCCAAAAATTTTGTTAGGTGATTCAAGTGCATTGTCCAATTGGTTATATATTAATGATTGTCTCTTAATTGTTGTATAGCTTATGAATTTGTTTATTGGATTATTCAATATGGCAATCGAAAAGGATAATAATAGAATTTCATATTTAATGCAGAAGGCGGAGGTATAATATCATATAAAATATAGTAATTGTAAAATGCTAAATTTTTTAATTTCCTCATAGATTTTAGCTGAAATTGAATTGTTTTATCTATTGCCACATCAAAGACGTTGGCATACATGGTTTCCTGAAGTAATGTAAGTAAATTTAAAGAATTTTCATAATATATATATATATTTGATTAATACTAATAATAATATTCATATAAATTTATTTTCAAGATATTATTATGCCAATATTGATAAAACTCTAAAAAGTTAAAGAAATGATTCGTGAAGGAGAATGGAATATTAATGAATTTCCAGAACTGAAAAAGGATTTATTAAATAAACTCAATATCCAGGCTGTTGATGAGACTTCCTTACCGCAATTATTAGAAGAAGTATTAGAAGAAGTACAAAGTATACGGGAAAATTCTTTGCACCAATTATTAGAAGAAATACAAAAAATACAGCCCAAATCATAATTTTAGAATTGTAGAGTATCATTTTTATAAGATGGAACAGTTTTATAATCAATTTCCTGTATTATGATAATCTATTAATAAAATATATAATTTTATACTTTTATTAACTAAGTTTATATATTCTAAAATAAATTTTGTGCTATATGATAAAAATTCAGTAGATTTGGATTATACCTTAAAATAATAGATTTTAATCAATCAATTAAAAAAAATATGTCGAGTATGACAATTAGAAAAGTACGTTATACTTCGAATAACGCGAAAAAGATAACATAGAAGAGGAAAACGAGTCAATGACCTAAACGAAAGTCTTTAATCGAGTAGAAACACATTACAACAAAATACTCACAGGCGATAAGGCCGAACCGCTAAGGATTATGGTTATGGGCACCGCAGGTACAATCGCTATATGCGTATTTCCGATTGCATATCACAAATCAACGATTTAAATTTTTAAATTTGGATCTCTGGCCTGAAAAAATAAGTATAAGGAATAAAGTCACTATTTTTAATTTTATTTATAGATTTACAAAAAAAAAAAAATTTTGATAATAATTAAACGTGTGGCTAAATAATTTTTTTAGAACTTTATAAAATCAAAATATCAAGCTACTTATATTTCTAACTGCAGAACTGGAGATAATTTTGATCATCACAATAAAACACAATAATGATTATTTAGGATTGACATTACAAATTTACAATTAATTTTTTTTTTTTTTAACGCTATTATAAAGTAATAAAGTAAACAGTATAAAACCATTAATACAAAAAATTACAAATTAAAAAGAACTACTGGCTCCCTTATCTACCATAGTAATTGCCATCGACACTACAATTTAATTGGAAATACTAAAAGATTAGTTAGTTTACAATGAATTAAACAAGGAAAAGGAAGTCAATTTTAATTCGAACTTTTTTTCTGAGCCACAATGCTGTCAATTCTGTGCGATAAAAAAATACAAATAGGATTGTGCGACTACCTCTATTTCCGAAATTGTGAAAGGCATACCATATGAAGGGGCTGAGGACTTCGCAATTTCGAGATCTACAAGAACTAGCTATCTTTGGGGGTCGTCTAAAGCCATGTTCGCTCACGTGATCATAAACCAATCATAATGTCTGGCTATTTATAGTGTCCAATCAAGTACGTGTATATCATGATCGAACACTGCTTTAGACATCCCTATCGTTGAATCTGGCAAGTCAGATCATTGAAAAGGTGCTTTCATAGAACTCTCGGCATCATACGACAAAGCTAAAAGCTAATTACCCAGCAAAGCATGTAGTGGTATGTGGAAGTTCAGTCAACTTTCCCGCAACGCAAAAATAAGGTATGTATATACCAGATGTTATGTATGCATGGAAGCGAGTTTTTTCTCACTGTGGGCCTTGTATTTAGGAAAGCAAGATGTCTTCCTCTACTAGTAAAATTCGTCTCAAGTACTTTGTCATAGTGAGACTATCGATGATATTGTTCCTGTAGTAATTGATAAGAAATTGACTGTTAATAATCTGAAAGATGAGATCAAAAATGCTCGGCAAGATTTACGAGAAATAAACATCGATCTATATGATAAAGATTTCGCTCAGGACAAGGGATATTGATGGATCCGCAAAAAAATATTTCTCAGTATTTATCCGTAGGAGATACACACAGCCTTATCTTCCGGTAGATGGTAAAATAGTTCCTCCTCGAATACTCAATCAGAAAGCGAGAAATTTTATCAGCATACCCTTTTCTAAACTAGTTATAATTAGAATATTATTATTTGTATCAGTTGTTGCTCTGGCAACGATTTATTTCTTAAATAAAGCATTTATACATACAATAAAAAAATATTACAAATCATTTCTCTGGCTATACAAGAAAGTGTTCCGAATTAATTTCACTCTGTTAATACAATCATAGAATTGGTTCTCTTCTAAATAATGCACGCTTTTGGTTTAACTCCGGCTGGAATATTCTTGTGTATGGTATGAAAAACAAACAGACCGGCAACTAGTTTTACCGTTCTGATTTTCTTATTAATAAATGGGGAGAATTTTTTTCTTTCTGCTTTTTTTTTACCAGAGATTTATCAAATTTCAAAAAAAAAAAAAAAATGTCTTCTAATCCTTTTGATACTAATGCTTCAGATTATGACAAAATTCCATTTTGTTTGACCGTTGCAAAAAATTGTTCAAAAGCTATTATTGACGAATTGGGAAATGAGCTAAATCCCGAGAAAACTGAAGTTATAGATTTTGCTTGTGGAACTGGTAATGTATTACTTTATTTAAAATTAAGTCCAGTCGTTTATTCCTTTGGATAGAACTATGGAACTGCAGGACGGAGCTGCAGTCTGTATCCTGCAATACCCTTAACTCCTTTCTGCATAAGTTTCTGCATCCCTCAATCATTCTGGATAAAATTCTCTTTTAGTAATTTTACAAAAATAACAATAAACTTACAAAATATTTAGGACTTATCTCTCAAGAATTACGCTCTTATGTAAAATCCATTGTTGGGATTGATATGGCCCAAGGTATGGTCGATGAATATAATAAAAAAGTTTTGCAACAAGGTATTGATGAAAATGAAATGAAAGCTATTTGTTTGGAATTGAAAGAAGGCGATCAATTAAATGGAAGAAAATTCGATCTCGTTGTTGTAAGTAATGATATCTTTCAAACTTTTAGATCCAATCTTTGAAAATTATAATTTAATCTCATTGTTTTTAGTGCGCTTCGGCTTATCATCATATCGATGATGTCACTGCTATTTCACGTATTCTTGCTTCTTATTTAAAACCATCTGGAAAATTGATCGTATTAGATTTAATTAAAGACCCTGCGACTAAGGATAAACTTCATGAAGGTTTTACGGATCATCATCATAGACATCATCATGGACATCACGAAGATTCCACGGCTCATAAAGAGGATCACGAAGATGTTATAAATAAATTTGCGGGGACTGTAGTTCATAGAGGTGGTTTTTATCCTGAAGAGATTGAAAAGATTTTTTTGGATACCGGGGTTTTGGAAGATGTTAAAGTTGAAGTAGCATTTACTTTTAATAAATTTATTAAACAAGATCAAAAAGAATATACTTTTAAATATTTGATTGCTAAAGGTAAAAAGAAAGAATAGAAAGAACAAAGGTTCAATATGAATAATATATTTATTAAAGTATTCTTATAATACTATACCTTTATTATAGTAAATAAAAATTTCTCTATTATAGAAAATTTGACCCTAAGTTCCCCATGTTATAATCGGGATGCGTTTATTGGATGCGTTCTAGTAAACTTCATGGAATTTTGACAATATATTTTTTTAGTAAAGATCTGATGATTCCGGAGGAGGAATCGACTATGTACCTTTCTAAAAATTTATTCATTGACATATTCCTGCATCCACCATCTAATCTTATTTTCGTTTGATTATGCTTACTGGGAAATATCTTATTTCTCACCTGGCTTTGTTTTTATAGGCTAATGTCAAGAAGGAAAATAGCTTATGGAAAAAAGTTACTAATGAAAGGAAGAATACCAAATAAGCTAAAGTTTAAACAACTTAAAATGTAAAACAAATTATTTCATCTGAATCTTAACAAAAACAGAAATTGAAAAGGTCTCAAATATACATGTTATCCAAATTATCTTGGGCTGCCATAATTATAAGTAAAATCCCAAATTCAATTATAGCATCCCAAATTATTTTGGCATTTTATATAGTAAATTACATATAAACTGAATGAATTACGGCATTTCAAATTATAATTATAAATTTGGGCAGCATGTATAGTTTTAAACCAAACAAAATACTACTACTCCTATGGATGAAGTTATCAAAACTACTGCTACTCCTACTACTCCGCCAAAAAGAGTCACTTTTAATTATTAAACAAATGCCTTCCTATTATATTCCAGATGATATATTAAATATACCATCTTCAGTTAAAATTGGATAACTTTTAATATCCTAATCAAAAAAAAAGATTTTGCCAAAATTTTGAAAGACCTTTCAAAATGCAAAAAACTAATTATATTAATAGAATTTCTGATTTAAAAGAAAATAATTCTAGGAATATTATTGCTGTAAAATGTGCAATAAGAATTAAAGAAGATTCTATTTATGTAATTTTAGATTTAAAAGCTGCTGTTTTGTTATTATTAAATATTTTATCTGTAATTTAAAGATTAGACCTTTAAATACTATAGTAGTTACTGAAATAGAATAAGAAATAGAACTTTAAGACAGATAGAAAAAGTGTTAATTTCCATTCAAATTCTTTTTATTTACATTTTATTTTATAGAAAATTTCTAAGTTTACACGGGGTGTTTGTACACGGGTCATATAAATATAATTTTTAATAGACTAATTTTTTGTTTTTTAATTTGAAATTGAATGCTACCGACATTATACTCTTTGACTTTTTATTCTTATTATATTACAGATAAATATATGTATTTTCACCTGCTCTGCAAGTTTACTTAAGGCATTAAAGAAGGTTTTGAATGCCGTTTTTAATCTACTAATATGACCCGTGTTTAAACACCCCGTGTACAAATAGAAATTGCCTATTTTATATTATTAATTCTAAAAATGAAATTTTACTTCTAAAAACTGATTAATTTAAATGTATTAAAACTGTATTAGATATCAATAGTAAATTTATCCAATTGACTTTTTTAATTAAAACTATTGCTATATAATTTTATTAATTAGCAATCAAATTATGTGATATACTGATTTTTGCAATTTTCAAAATAAAAATGCATAAAAATAATTACTTTTTTTGATAATAATCTGAAAAAGTTTATGCTGATATAAAATAAATGAAAATTTTTAAAGGCCATCATTCATAAAGTGATCAAATATTGTTGATAAAAAATATAAATATAAAGATGATTTAATTGAAAAAGAAATTTATTTTTTTAATAGTAAATTTAATAAAAAAAGAAGAATTATAAAACAGTGGTGTTAATAACTATTGACTTAGAGTTTTACAAAATCAAATTAAAGTTGCTCTAAGCCAATTCTTTGTTTAACATAACATAAAGGGTCCCAATTTAGGAGGGAAACAAAAAATAATACATAAAATAAAATACATGGTCAGAATTACCATTAATTTTGGCTAAAATTTTGACTAAAAGAGTGAGCAAAAATTGTGAATGGTAATTCTGGTCAAAACTTAAAGATTTGTCTAATTCTGACCTAAATTACATGTATTTTTTTACATAAAAAATCTAAAACAGGGGGTAGGGATTATGTTAAAAGAAAAATTAAATTGGTGCGACCTAACTTAAATATATATTTAATTTGATTTTTTGAATCAGATATTTAATTTGATTTAATTAATTTGAATTTGATTAATTTGATTAAGTTTAATATGTTTAAATTTGAATTTAATTTAATATTGCATATTTTTTTTAAGTATAATTTACTACCATATTTTTCCTTTTTAAAAATTAAAAAAAGTTTTTTTTAAATAACTATTAATGTTAAATAAAATTTATTAAATTAATACAAATTTCTCAAATAAAGCAAAAACATAATGGAAAATTACTTGAATTTAATCTAATAAATATCTAGCTTACTAAATTCTAAAACAAATAAAAAGGTAATTTATTCTTTTATTTTATTTTAGAAAATGTCATTATACAAGTAGAATGTTAATTATTTAACATATTTACCAATTTATATCTTTTTAACCATCTGAATTAATTAAACATTAATAAAATATATTATAAATCAAAGATTAATCAGGTATTTAATCTGATTAATACAATTTATTAATTAAGTGGGATACCACCATATGATATAATTATATCATATGGTGGTATCCCACTTGCCCTAGATTATATTACCACTATATAATCTGGATACCACCATATAATCTAATTACCACCATATGATCTAAATAATATAATCTAATTACCACCATATAATCTAAATAATATAATCTAATTACCACCATATAATCTATTTATTTTTACGAATTAGGTATCTTATTTATGCTCTAGCTATCCTTTAAAATCTTTCTTGCTATCTGTTTTTTTTTACCACCATATAATCTAACTACCATCCACCATTTAATCTAACTATCACTATATAATCTAAATACCACTATTTTCTTCTTGTTTTTGAGTCGTTTACATGCTAAATTATATAATGGGGTTGTTGACATTCTGTAGCTGTTTGGATACTTGGTTTTATGTCAAAGTGTTAACCTCCTGCGCCTGATTGGGTGCCACATTTTATATCGAGGTGCTTACCTTTTGCGCCTATTTGGTTGCCTTTCTAGATCCCAAAATGTGGTAAAAAAAACATCGTGTCAGGTGGCGCAGTATTTCATGTAAATCTGCGTTTAAATTTAACCGGCACTATACTATAATTTCAGCCGATCTTTTGGGTATGTGATTTGAGGATCCAATGCTAGTGACCTGATAGTATCCTAGAACTATCGTGGAACTGTCATGGAACTGGCAGGGAACTGTCAAGGAGCTAGTATAGTCCTATTAGTTCACCAGTTCTCTATGCTGGTTTGGATGCCAAGTTATTGTATTCAAATTCTGACCAAAATTGTGGAATAATGCTGGCTGAATTTATACTACGCCTTACTGCGCCAGTCACGTGATACTGTTCCAGCGACAGAACATCTCAGGATAGTAACAGAAACATTTCCAGAACATTCCTGAAACCAAATACAGTCAGACCTCCATAATTGCACACCCTTTGGGACCATATGCATAATTTTCAAAATAGTGTATTTAAAGAGGGTGTGTATTTATAGAGGTAAAATAATTAGAGATCATATAAGCTTGAGACCAAAACAGAGGGTGCATTTAGAGAGGGTATACATAGTGGGTGCAATTATGGAGAGTGCAATTATAGAGGTCTGACTGTATATATGCATTTGTGTCACATATTTTTTGTATCCATATATTTCCGAAATCTTCCTAGCCCCAGTCTGGTAATTCGTTGGTTAGTAGAAAATTGGAAGTGCAATATGTATTATCTTGGCCTGGCCCATTTGATTCACCATTTCACAACCCAACTATTACCTATTTGTTGCTGGTATAATTATACCAATTTCGTGTTCGAGATTAGAGGTGTGATATGCATACCATCGAGATGTACATCCGGATACATACTGTACTAGTGATAGGGTAGTCTTCTTCCATAATTTTATATAATATTTCTGAAGAAGACTACCCTGGATGACATACCTGAGTATATACTAGTATTAGGGTAGTCTTTTCCCAATATTTTATATAAGATTACTACTCTAGAGAGAATGTATTTATTTGCGCCAATAGAGTGGACGTGTTTATTAAGTAAATACCGTCAGCCAGAGAATTTCGTATCTCTTTTTGGTATATTCCTATCTTACGTGAAGGCTACACATTTTGATGCATCTGGATGCCTTTTTCTTGATAGCTGGTATAGGTATGCCAATTTCGATTGCCAGTATAGGCGGTATATATTGATTCTGATCAGGCCCAAAATTGTATAACTGGTTTGTGTTAATGAGGGCCTCCCATACCCGAGTACAAATCTAGAAAGATGTAGCCTTCTTCCAATTTTTTATATAATATTTCCAAAGAAGGCTACACTTTCAAATACATATCCGTTTCCTTTTTATTTATGATTTGCTGACTAAGTTTGCTATCACTTCTTTATTGCATCCATCAAAAAAAATTAATTAAACATTTCGGAAATATATTGTGATATAATAACTTTATCTACTGACAGCATGCATACACCAACTATTTCTGACCAAACTGATCGCACTAGAACCACCCCAGCCCTCCGCTACGATGGCGCCAGCTCCTTAACCGGTGTTGTATTATGTAATGATATTGTATCGGAATTTGATAACGGAATGACCGATGTACTCCAACAACGCTTATCTGATAAGCAACCCATACACTTTATGCCTACCACTGTAAGTGATGAGGCCGAATATATTAATGGAGTATCCACCTATATTTTGCGTATTAGATTAATGGGCAAAAAGCTATCGTAAACATTATGGGCATTAAGCCTTTCTTTGATGTCGTAGTATCTGAAGAGATATCATTATCTATGTTTAAGACCAAATTAGTGAAGATGGTATCTAATATTCTTGGAAGCACATCGAAGTTCGAAATTGAAACTATTAGCGCTTTTCTACTTTAAGGATACCATACAGAGAAAAAGATATATATCCGTATAAGGACATGGAATCATTGGGATCAGAATAAAGCGCTAAAGGCAGTTCATGAAGTTGGTATCAGCACTGCTTCTGATAACCTAAATCCTACATATTATTATCGCAAAGTAGCCTGTGAAGAAAGATTGCCTCTTTCAAGTTGGGCAACGTTAAGTAATTATTTTCACGAATACATTCAAGGAGGTACTTATCTCTTCCAAGTTTCTGTGAATAATTACAATCCAACAAGTGAGGACGACTATAATAATCCATTATTTTCCTCAGCCCTTTCACGGGATCGAACTCTTGTTCTCACATGGGACATAGAGTCATATAGTTCGCTCGGACTAGGTAAATTCCCTACTGCACAAAATGATGAATCTAATGTATTTATGATCGGTATGTCAGTTCATTAGAAAGATGACCCTAATCCATTAAAACAGATCTGTCTTGTTGATGTTGAAACTGCCCCAGACTCTCGCTGAACCACAATTATATGCGGGAATCAAGTAAATCTGTTAAAAGCCTTCACCTTGTGTTGTAAACTACTAGCCTTGGATATACAAATAGGTTTTAACAATTCACAATATGACTGGAGATTTATTGTAGAGAAAGCGAAAAAGCTAGGGGTTCTCGAGTGGATATACAATCAAATGTCAATAAAGCCTTCGAGTCTCGAAAAAATTTCAAAATAGCAATATCAATATAGCGCAATAAAGGTCAATGATAGGGATTTCCATTCGAAGCATCTTAAAATCCTTGGGTGCGTAGCTATTGATATCCGACCATGTTTTATGAAATTCTATCTTAAGGCCGAAAAGAGCAGTTTAGCATATTACCTAAAGGAGTTTAACTCGATAATAAGCTGGATATGCATTTCCATCGTATGTTTAAGTATTATGGAAAGGCATTAAAAGAAACTAATGCTACAACAGACGAGCAGATACGTGAAGTAGCCGAATATTGTATTATCGATGCTATTAGCTGTCAGCAGTTAATGGTAAAATGTAATGCAATTAACGAGTACAGGGAGGTGGTATCTGTAGCCTTCATATCATTATATGATTCACATTATTTTGCAGTAGAAATGAAAGTGCGTAATCTTTTAAGTGCCGTTCTTTACAGAAACCTTGAAAATTTGAGCGATGTTGAATTGATATGGATACGATATAAATTTCATGTCATAATAGTATCAATTTCCGTGATGATATTGTTATAATGTTGATTCGATATCGTTACTTCATCACCATAATTTATCGCGAAAATATCGTGGCGATATCTATTTAAAAGAATATCAAATCGGTGTAAACGGTCGAATATCAAGCACGGAAAGATGATAAAATTCAACCACCAAATGTAATTATTAAATATTAAGAACGAACAAATTAATCGTGGATTGGCGTAGATGGATAAATAATTAGCCGAAAAGGATAAACATTTAGGAAGAGTAATGATCTACATGATGTAATATTTATTGAATGATTGACAAGGAACCAATAGGATAAATAGAGTCGATCAATTGCGGCTTAGCAATCTTTAACAATAAGAACGATAAGAAAGAATAATTATAAGCCACAAAAGATAGATTATAAGCAAAACACATAAAGCGAATTAAAAGAACATATAAAATAATGTCAGAAAGATTAAAGAACACAAAATAATGTAAAAGATAATATAAAAAGATAGTATAAAGATGGAACGTAAAAGATAATATATTAAAAAGAACATATATAAAAAGATAGCATATTAAAAGATAGCATATTAAAAGATAGCGTATTTAAAATATAGATAGTATATTAGAAAGATAGTTCAAAGATAATATGTAAAGAGAACATAAAAGATAGTATATAGATAGAATAGAAAGTAGCATAAAAATTGTATATATAGAGAGCGGAATTCAAGGTAATTCCTTAGTTCTCATCCACAGAACTCAATAAAAATATAAGTTTTATTTTTTAATTATTTGTTAGTAAAGTTTAATGTTAATTAAAGGTAATAGGTTCGCCCTAAACTTTAATTAATGTTTGCTTAATTAATTTTAATTGAATAAATGGAAATTTTAAGATGAATTAAATATACACTTTTGGAAAGTAATAATTCGTAGCGAGAGCTATCGAAGTTTGAAATTAAAGGTAAAAGTGGATATAATTTGGGGAAAATTTAGAGAAGTTAAATTTTATTTTATATCGTTCAACATTTTATATTACTAACGCTATTTATGTCGTGAACCAAGAATGTTGTTGTATATTGTTGTTACATGTTATTCGTTGATTATGTTATAGTTAATTATGTTGTTGATTATTTGTTCGTTTGTTCAATTGTTCGTTCGCTCGTTCATTCGTTCGTTCGACCATGGGAATGCCCGTTCGATGTGGCAACTCTGTAAATTGATGACAGAGGGAATAGGGGGATCTCATATGGTGCATGCTCGCAAGAAAGGAAATGATCATCATCACATGATTATTATTATTATAATGAATATGAAAATTTAATTTCGTTAGTAAGTCACTGATAGGTATTATTAATCAATATTTTATTTTAGAATTTATTTTTAGATTTCAGGTTTTGACGAGTTCAAAAGGAACCAATAAATCAACAAGGATTTAATCGAGTTAAAAACTTGAAAAGGTGAAAGATTGGAGTTTGAAGTTGTGCAAGTAATCATTTAATCGATAGAAAGCACAAGAATATTTCTTTCAGGAATAAAGTACCTGAGAAATTTCATAAGGAGATGTGGAAGTGAAAGATGAATTTTGGAATAAAGATTAATAATGGGA